GAGCTGGGGAGAGTGTCATCAGAGTACTGAAGGATATTCCATTTGAAATAAGACAGCGGAGAAAGAAATATAAAGATCTTGTTCTTTTTCTTCAAACAAATTCAATTGGATATAGATGGCTAATTCCAGACGACGTCACCTTTAAAATTAAGGATAAAAAAGAAAAGATTGACTCTGTTCTGAAAGCGAGAGAATTTTTAAGAGCCCAGCTGGGAGGCCCAGAGGAGGAAGAAAAAGAAGGGGACAGCAAGTCCAGTAGCGAGCTGGACTCGGGTTCCTCCGGAGAGGACTCTCTGTCTGAGAAAGGGGCAGCAGCTCCTAAAAGTCCTTATAAGTTGTGGAAGAGACTGGACAAGAAGAAGTGAAGGCTGAAGGACTCTGAATTGTGCCTTTGAAAAATTTTGAATTGAGATGCTTTGGGGTATTTCCTGATATCAGTTAAATTTAAGATGTGGGAAAAGTTAACAGACTATGTGACTCAGTTTGTAATGAGATTAATATGATTAAGACTAGATGTGTATTTAAGCTGATTAGAAGATCTCCTCTCTTGGGTTTTTAGTCAGTAGTGGGTATCTTTTCTTTATCCCCTTAAATGTAGTCCCCTCCCTTATTTCTGTTATAGTTTGAATAAAAATGCAATAAAAAATTCCCCATCTGGGAGCAAAAAAAAAAGTGTTAATTTTTGCGAACAAAACAAGAAACTGTAAAACGGTCTCAGATGCCAAACATACAGTGTGAGTGTGGTAGAGCTGTACTAGGGTTGCCATGCATACCAGTCATCCTCATGACTAGGACAAATTGGCAGTAACAAGTAGAACATGTGTGACATAGAAGTTAGAGGACTGGGCTAGGGCTGGGGGGGCGTACCTTGGTTCAAATCCTGCTCATCCAAGCAGCACTCTGTGGGTGACCTTGGGCCGGTCACTCTGTCTCTCGGCCTAACCTACTTCACAGGGTTTGGGGGAGGGTAAAGGAGGTGCCCTGAGAAGTGGCACCCAGAGCTTCTTGGAAGGATGGTGGGATAACAAATGTGGTGGATAGAGCTGTTGTATTCTTGAAAGCAGATGATATTCAGTCCAATTTAAACAGTTGTTGTGTAGGAAGAATTTTAGGATATGCATGTTGACCATCCTGATGTTCAGGGTGAATTAGCAACTAGTTGTGCTTCAGTGGCATTCAGAGAAATAATGGCACCCTCTTTGTCTTCTTTAAAAACGAGGTAGGGAGATGGGGGACTGTCAGTTATGGAGTGGAGGGGGGTGTTGCATGCACACTGCCTTTGGACATACTGCAGGGCTCTACTGGTAGCAGGAGCTCCTTTGCATATTAGGCCACACACCCCTAGTGTAGCCAATCCTCCAAGAGCTTACAGTAGCCTCAGTACGAAGAGCTCTGTAAGCTCTTGGAGGATTGGCTACACTAGGGGGTGTGTGGCCTAATATGCAAAGGAGCTCCTGCTACCAGTAGAGCCCTGTACTACCACCATTGAGTGCCAGGCAGGTACCAATCCTGTGGTTAGTGCATACATAACTACACTGCTAAATTTATATTTGGAGGCATGTGGATGGTTCTGTTCGTGGAACCTGCCATCAGGTCACAAAGTCAGAATACTGGGTAAAATACGAAGTCAGAATACTGAGAATATAGCATTCCTTTAACTTTTAAAAAAATGCAGTTACAGTGTATTTGTATTAACCATTCAGACTTTGGAGATATATCTCTGGTAACTGTTGCTGGTAAGATTGACAGACTATTACCATGGTTACAAAACTAATCTGATACTGAGTTTACTCTAGAATGGTTGCTGACTTTGCATCTTCTTTGTGGTTGTGTTGAATGCTGCTCATTTCTTTCTGTAACAGGTGGGAAGTATACCAAGGAGGATTTCAAAGATTATGAAAAAGATCATAACGAAACATCTAAGTTAAGCCTGAAGGAGAAGGCAAAGCCCAAGCAAGAGTATCCTTAATGATTGCATGTTGTTAATTTTTAATTTTTTTCTTATAACTTATGAATGAAAATTTATATACATCTGTTCTACAGCTGAGGATATGTATGACGAGTTTCAGATTATTTGGAATCACTTTCTTATTTACTTAGCCTGACTGACTTTACTTAGTCTTAACTTAGCCCGACTGTCAAATGTTAACATGATTTTTACCTTTATATTGAATTGGTGGGTAGTTTTGCATTTAAAAAAGACTTGTGTGTTATATTTTAATTTTCAATTACTTCCAGCCATAGAACTGCTAGTTCAGCACATAAAACTTACTTGTTATATCTTATAGTATGTTTTGGTATGAGCTCAGTTGATTTTACAAGATACACAGATCACATTGTAAGAAGTCAGTTTTTTGCACACAGTCCTTATTCCCTGACTTAACCATCGGAACTCCACATTTTTCCTCAAGCTGTACTTAACACAGTCCTTATTCCCTGACTTATTCCCTGAACTCCACATTTTTCCTCAAGCTGTTGTTGTGGGTTGGTGTAGTTGCAATGAAAAAATGGGCCCACGTGATAGACTTCACTCAACAGTGTATATAATTCGCTTCCCATGTAAACTAGACAGATCATGTAGTTAGTTTCTGGGTCAGTGCTGCACCTCTGGGGCTGATCAGTGCATGAGTGTGTACTTTGCCTTACCAAATGATCTAGCTGAACTACATGGGAAATCGGTTGCTATCTCTGTGAGGTAGAATGCCAGTCACTATGCAGAAGTATTTTTGGCAGCTATCATGCCATGCTTACACTGTGTATGAATCATGCTTTAAAATAGCTGATTCAATAAGTTTATGGTATTTCTTACCTGCCTTTCTACTGGAGGGACCCAAAGCAGATTACAAAAGCAATTAAAATTGGAACAAGTATAAAAAATCAACAAGAAATACCACTACAAATCAGCAACGCTGAAACCACAGTTTAGGAAGTGAATACACATGGATAAACTAGGTGATTAAAATGTGTAGTCAGGCTGTTAGTGCATCTTTACCCTTTTGACCTGTCAAAAATCATTACAACAATGCCTCCAAGTGGCTCATTTTGCTTCTTGGTGGTGGTCTCACTTATTTATGCCTGATAGAAGCTGCATGTAATCTGACTCTTTTTGACTCCAGGATTCTTATTGTTGAAGCACAGTTGTTAGTTCAGTGGAGGTTCGTCTTCTGTCATCCCTAGTGTCTAGATCTAGAGCTTCCCTTAACCAACTGATGCAGCACTAGATATGACCTTGTATTGGTGGATGAAGAAGAAGGAGCCAAAACAAGCCATAGGCACTCTGAGAAGAAAAAGAAGAAACGCTACCATTCAGATGATGATGAAAATGAAAAGAGGAGCAAACATCCTAAGGTATTGAGCTCTGTTCTTTTCAGCTGATCAGCATGTTTTAATGTGGTGGTACTGCCACTGAAGCATGAGGTCAAATTAAAATGAGTATTTTTACCAGTCCGTAGCCCACTGAACATGCTGTGAAATAATATGAAGTGAGACTGTTAAGCCATCTTGCTCAGTACTATCTGCTCTGATCAGCAACAGCTCTAAGGTCTCAGACAAACAAAAGTCTCTCTTGCCCCTGGCTGTCTAAAATCCTTTAGCTGGAGATGCCATGGATTAAGCCTGGGATTTTCTGCATGCAAAGCAGATGCTGTACCTCTGAGCCATGGCCATTCCCTCTCATTAGCTACCCAAGTATTAATTCTAAGCTTGGCTGTTTTACCTCAACCAAAAGCCAACCCCTTAAACGTTGCCTTTTTCTTTTATATATGCGCATCTTAATTGACTGTTATCATTTGCTACTGGAAAGCCCCTTACTTGTTTCAAACCCTTGTTAGTTTCCCCCATCAGTTGTTTTCTCTTACAGAGATGCACTGGGTACCTGTCTTCGTCTTTCCAACAGCTCAGCAAAGCCACCTCGAAAGCCCCTGTCATGTAGATGCTAGTCTGTTCCTTGCATAACAGTTGTGAAAAGCATATAGAGTGCTTTTGCCATCAGAGCGTTGTCTATTGTTCACATCTTTGTATTGGGCATTTAGTTTAGAAACATGGAGTATGTGCTTTCCTGGGAGTATTCACCTATTGAGTAGACTTGCTTTAGGACTGCTCTCAAAATGTACAGTCATTCATATTATTGATGTTTTCTCCCAACTACCTTTTTAGAAGCCTCCTGTTAAAATGGTATTATGTTTAATTTATGTTTAATCCATTGTTTATATGCATTGTTGTAACCCACCCTGAGCCTGCTGTGCGGGGGAGGGAGGGCTAGAAGTCAAATAAATAAAAATAATAGCAAATGGTTTGATTGTCTTGGTTTTAACTATAGCAAATGGATATTGACTAGGCATTGGCAGGGTAGATAGTGTACTTTGGATTTGAATGGAGGTCTCCAAGATCCAGTGCAGTACTACTTCTTGGTTTATGGCTTTGTCTTAGTTCTACACCTGCACAGTTGGAATACATATTTTCATCAAAAAGGTTGTTGTTACAATGAACAACATGAGTAATGGTCTTATCACTTGAACTAAATTGGGCTCTGAAATCTGAATAAATAACAGCACTCTCCTGACAGAAAGGGAAAAACTAGTTCTGAGCTGAGTAACGGGCTCAAAAATCGCCTTTTTTAAAAGTATTTGATCACGAGGTCAGGAATGCTTCCTGTAGTTTATCACCAATGCCCAGCTGGCTCATGGCCTCACAAACGCAGCTAGGTAGTTTGCACAGGCAATTAGACAGATTGCCGAGGTCTGACTCTAGCCAAAAGGACATCTGGGCTAGGGAGAAACTGCACTGAGAATATAAGACATATTGGTTTCCACCATGCCAAGTCCAAAGGAAGGATGAAGGTGTGGCTGATTGGACTGTGCCTCCTGTTTGGGGTTAGGTGTGCCTGAGGTGAGGAGCTAGTGGTGAATATTTTGATATTTAAGTCAGTTGGTGAGGGAGGAAGTGTATGCTCGTCCATATATTTTCATGTCTGGTGTTTTGGTAAGAGAAAGATAAGTGGTTATAGTATAAGCTGTCCTTATAATAGAAGTTGGATGTTTCAAGAATAGTGTTGAGTTCTGTTCTCTGGGTAGGATGGTGGATGGGTGGAACCATATATTTTCATGTCTGGTGCTTTCGTAAGAGAAAGATAAGTGGTTATAGTATAAGCTGTCCTTATAATAGAAGTTGGATGTTTCAAGAATAGTGTTGAGTTCTGTTCTCTGGGTAGGATGGTGGATGGGTGGAACCTTAGATGGTATGATAGTCCTAACTGGTGAGCTTGGAAAAAAGGAACAAAAAACTTGGAAACTAGTGTTGCATACCGATATTTTCAAATAATGTATGTCTTTTTTGGTGTTGTCTTTGTTGACATTTTTGATACTTTGCAATGTTGTGTCACTGAAACTGCCAGTCAGAAAACACAAATACATTACTATTTGTTTTCTGAATCATCAATCAATGTATTTTCAGTCTGTCACAAGTGTACCGATCAGTTAGGAATAAAATCTCCTTCTATGTGATGTAGTTGTGAGATGAAGAGGTTTATTGGCCTGTGTGACTGAAACCTGGCTGGCTGGATCTTATCACATAGTTTTGTCACAGATTACTCCAGCTAGCTGTGTGGTCCTTCATCAGCTAGGGAAAGGAGGTGGTTGTGATTATCTGTTGAATGTCAAGCTTTCAGAATCAATTGATACAGTTTCCTCCATGGTGCTTTCACCCTCTTTCTCTTCCTCCATGAATCCAACCCATGTAGTCAATGTGTTAGATGCGCCATCTGGTCAATGTTGTATAGGTAGTTTTGAATGGGGTTCCCGTATGGATGTTGACAGGATTATGAAGTCTGGAGCCAGCCACTTTTAATTTCAATCTCTGACCCGCTTGATTAAGTGATGTGAGAATAAAACAAGGGGTCAATTGGTGAGTGTCAGGGTAACTTCCCAAAACCTTTAAAGGAGACAATATACCTTGCAAGCTTTTGGTTGTTTGTTGATATAAACATCATGATGTGGAAAGGTCCTCTCCTCTCCTTTCCTTTCCTTTCTTTAATTTGTTTTTCAAAAACAACTGAAGACCTTGGTTTGTTCCCAAAGGTAAGTAAGTCACAAGATGACTCAAATAATGTAGAGATGCACAAGAGAAGAATATGCATGTCACAAAAGATAAAGATAGAGACATCATGATAAGGGGAAGCCCATGACTATGAGGAAGGATGACTCTAATATTGTGAGTTTTTGGAAATGAATTTCATTTTTTCTCTTTCTGCTGCATTGGTAATTCGGCTATGCAAGACTAAAAAACAGATACGTATAGATAGGCCAATTCAAACAGTTATTTATGTAGTTATTACTAGATTTTAAAAGTTATTTCTATGATGCTTGTGTCAAACCAAACTCCCCCCCTTCCTTTTAGTAGTGTATTTTAAGATAGTGCTGGTAGCTGTGAATATCAACAGTTACGTCTGATTTTGAATATAAAAATGTGTCCCCCATCAACAGAGGGTACCCCACGGAGCTTTCAGAACAAGGAGCAAGTTTTTCAGTAGCCCCAAGGAAGGTGGGTCATGAGTTGCCTCAGCTGGTTTCCCTGAGGCCCCTGCAGCTAATGGCGTGGCCTGGACTTGTAAAAATTGGGATTGATGTACCCAAGCTTTTCTTCTTCATCTTTGTAGCTGGAATAATAGAAACCTCTTCATTGTGGTAGCAAGAATTTAATGGAATAGTGTGAAGTCTTCCTACTTCTTTTACATTTTGAACCATAGGAAGGACGAGGTATTCCTGGAGGTTTCTGGCTTTACTCTGGACCAGTCTGAAGAAATACTTTTATTTTACAGAGAAGAATTAGCCATTTCCCTATTTTTGAGGTCAACATCATTCTCCAACAGAATGACATACAAAACAAAGTGAAGAAAATAAAAGGGCCGCACCAGTCACAAGCGATTAAAAAATAAGGCCAAGGCCAGTGGTGCAAAATCAGGTAAAATTGTATTTTATTACTCAGTATAAAATTCCCAAGAAATTCCCTAAGCATTTCTCCAACAGCTGTCATCAGGGGAATATGTAATATATAATATACAATTACACCACTGAGTTTACACAAATACAATACAGTTAAAATTATATAAATAAATAACTATATTAAAAGTCAAAATCCAGGTTGTGAAATATCATTCACATACAAAATTGCCAGAGATCATTCTGTCCTTGAGACTGCAAGAGGAGGAGAGTTAAGATAAGGCTGTCCAGTACCCAACAGGTTTTGGCTTTTTTGTGTATTATATATTACACATTCCCCTGATGAAGCCTGTTGGTGAAATGCATAGGGAATTTTTTTTTTTGGAGTTTTAAACTGAGTAATAAAATATAATTTTACCTGTTTTTGCACCATTGGCCTTGGCCTTATTTTTTATCATACACAATAAAGTACCATGTTAATTGAACTACATCTGTTGATTCGATAGGATGAACATGGAAGCAACCATTTGTATGAAGAACTAAACAGCATTTTCTTCTCCCATTATTGCCATTTACTCCTACTTTTTTCTAATCCATACAAGCCTTTGTGACTAACTACATTTCCCCCCAATCTTTCCTAACAGGACCCTGAGCGAAGGCACAAAGATGACTCAAGCAGAGAGAGGAAAAAAAGTGACAAGCGAGAGCGCCATAGAAGCCGAAGTCGCAGCCACTCACGGGACAGAGATGACCATTACCGAAAGTATAAAGACAAGCACCATGAGGAGCCCCGGGAAAGGGAGCATGAAGACAAGAGGAGAGCCAAAAGCCCTAAGAAGTCCAAAGATAAAGAGAAGTCCAAGTACAGATGAAAGAGGGTAACAAGAATGCTAAAAAACCTTTTTCTCTGGTGTTTCTCTACCACAGAAAGAACAAATGTCATGTGCCCTGGGAAAAAGAGATTTCAGGCCCAGTTCTCACTTTTAATCTTGGGACACCACAGGAGGACACCTTAGAGTGTAGAGTCCTATAAATGTTGTGAGATTTCTGAAGCTGTTGGTTACATTTGTGAGTTTGACTGATGAACAAAGAGCAGCAGAATGGTGAGGAATTTACTGTCTAAATGCAGTAATTAACTCCCTCTACTCCAAGAACACCATTGAATGCCAGTTGTTATCTTTAGATGGCACACTTATTCTTCTAACTAGTTCATACGTAACAAGCTTCCTGCTGCAAAATTACTTTAGTGTAGGTTGCATACAGCCCAGTTATACACTGTTCATGTGTTAAAAGTTGATGTGTATGTTCTGCTATGGGAAACAATTTATTATAAAATATCTCAAATAATTTTAATATATTTTGTTTTATATTTTTACAATTTATTCACCATATATTATTTATCATATAAGCCTTAATACATAGAAAGAACCACCAGAGGGCCAGATATCCTCCTGTTTCAGTGTCTTCCTCAGGGAGTTCAACAGATATTTCCAAGCACAAGGCTGCCAAATACCAAAATATTTATCCTAATTTTTCAATGAACGCTGCAAAAAGTCTCTCTTAGTGAGCTCAAAGCTTCCTCCAAAGTGAAAAGCACATTCTCCCTCCATTATATATGGTGAATAAATTGTAAAAATATAACACAAAAAATATATAAACATTATTTGAGATATTTTATAATCATCAGTAGCACTGCATTTGCTGATTTTTTTGTATTTCCCACTTACCGTGGGTCCTATTTTGGTTTTGTGAATGGGAAACAAACTGCCAGGTGGTATTTCATGCTACATGTCCGCCCATGTGTGACATGTAGATTGTTACAATTATTAACAATCTACTACTCAGAAGTAACATCCAAGTAGGGAATTTCTCATGTATGAAGTGGCTGTTAATTCCCCTGCTCTTGTTTAAACCTTAATAATACATACCTTACAAGTGTGTGTGTTTTCATGGCACCCTGCTTGTACGCTGTTTATTCCTCAGCATAGCTGTCTTTTATATGGAGACAGCCACGTGCATCACCATTAGGTGGTCTTCCCAGTTTGTAACTAACTTCTTTACTTGCCTTGCAGTAGCACTAGCAAACCTGAGCTGAGAACTGGAGCTTCACTGGCACTCTATATTGAGTTGTCTTCTGCCTATGGAAGGGCATGTTGGGGGGGGGGTCACTGATCTCCCTTGTGGACCTTCATATCAGTATTCTACACTTGTGTGAAGGTTGCATATAACCCAGTCGTACACTTCTCAACTGCGGAAGGTAAAGAGACAAAAAACTTAGACAAATCAGATCCTTCTACTTCTTAGGCAATTTAAAATTCCGCTCAGAATCTATCCATTTCATATAACTGTAAATTTTTTAATGCAAAAACCAAAAGTTGTACTATGGATGCTTCCATTAGTTCAGAAATTTTTAATTTATCTTGGCCTTCAAAAATCTTAACTGCATCTTGAATGGGGTGTAGCTGATGCTCATTTAGTATGTAATGGTTAAGCATTTGCTGTTTTCCAATGTCATCTACTGAGTATTTATAAAAGAGGTGTAATAACCTACATGTTTTATGCTTCTGTAAGTCAGCTTTTTAGGAGACAGACAGAGCTGAGTAGATCTGTCTACTTAGTAGGAAAATGTATTGGGAGGAGGAAAATGCTACTGCTTACAGGAATCATTCTTTGAGTCTAGTTAGTTTATTGTGCATTATTGGGAGGAGGAAAATGCTACTGCTTACAGGAATCATTCTTTGAGTCTAGTTAGTTTATTGTGCATTATCAGATGAATTATAGACTTTTGTTATATGCTAGATGTTATGAAGAATGCTAATCCAATTGCTTTTAACTGCTGTGTAAATGAATATATATCTAATAAAAAGCTAAGGGAAGCAGGAGATTAGTCGTATGTCTATATCTGTGCCTGAGTGAAGGAGGCCAGGGGAGCATACTCTGAGCAGAGGGCCCTGATAGTTAACCTATGGAAGATCCACTTCTCAAGGAAAATTGGTGTCTTAGCACTATTAAGAAACAGATTTCTCCTTAAAGATAATACTGGCATAGAAAGAGCCAGTTTGATGTAGTAGTTAAGTGCGCCGACTCTAACCTGGGATAACCGGGTTTGGTTCCCCACTCTTCCACTTGTACCTGCTGGATGACCTTGGACAAGCCATAGTTCTCTCAGAGCTGTCTGTGAAAGGGCAGTTCTGGAAAGAGCTCTCTCAGCCCCACCTATCTCACAGGGTGTCTGTTATGGGGAGGGGAAAGGAAAGGAGTTTGTAAGCCGCTCTGAGACTCCGAGTGAAGGGTGGGGTATAAATCCAATCTCTTCTCTTCTTCTTCCTCCAAATGACAGTCCTAGGTATAAAATATTATATGGGTGGGCTGATTTTTTGTTATTATTGAACTGGAATCAATGTGCTCTACTGAGTTGCTTAAAAACTGTGAAGAAATAGTGCCTACTCCAGATCTCTGGAAGAAGGCAAAGCTAATCTCTGTCAAGTGATCTTGAATACACACTTCTGCTTAGCAATGTAAGAGAGTCTTGCTGGAGCGGACCAAGGCCTACCTCCTCCAGCCTCCTTTGCCAAAATCAAACTATCGCCAACTACTGTATGATTTAGTGGAATGTGGCCAGAAGCAGACGACAGCCAAGTTTCTGCCTGCAGCTGAAGGAGTAGGTGTGTTTTTTGGTGATTGTGTGTTTGGCATTTCTAAGGTATACTATTGGCATTCTTGATCCAGAAATACATCTGTAGTTTTCTGCCTGAAATCCATCTTGTTCCTCCCCCAATTGTTCTTCATGCTTCTAAACTTGGGAGGGGCAGGAGAATTTTATTTGCTAAACTTAGACTAGACTGTCTTCATAAGATGATTCCGCCAAAACAGCAGGTTGGCCAATGTGTCCCCAGATCCAAGAGTGGTAGAGAAGGTCAAAGAAAGTTCTTTCTCTGGCATTACATTGTCAGCTCAGCAACTGAGCAGGCCAGTATCCCTGGTTACATTTAGTTAATCCAGTAGGGCCAGATCTCTCTAACGACCCCTGGTTGCATCCTCTAGTGTTACAAGCTAAAATGCATGTAAGCGAATACAATTAAGTAGGAAGAGTAACTTCATCTGCATAGTGCCTTGCAACCAGTCACAGTGGGCAGCTACTTGTTCCTCTCACATAGGGCCTAATTGTAAAAAAAAACCCCAAAGAACCCACCTTGAAAAGCTTTGCATAACAGCACTGCGTGGAGACAGTGGTAACGGATAAACTTTGTTCTACTGCTTCAGACCAACACAACTACCCATCTGGATCTATCCCTCCCCCCGTCACTTACACTGCCACAGAGCAGACATTCAAGTGGCCCGAGCCATGTCCAAGCAAGTTTATTGCAAGCTTTCTGGCACTAGTATTTGAACTATCCTTCCTGTTACCAGAGAACTCTGAGGAGGTTCAGTGCTGTTCCCCAAGAGCTCTTAAGATTCAGTGATGAAGGGTCATTGCTCATGGGAGAGGCATAGTTCAGTGGTTCACTATGTGCTTTCCATGACAAAGGTATCAAACAGAATCCCCTGCCACCTCCAAGTTAAAAGGGTCAGCTAATAAGTGATGCAAAGGACACCTCCCTGAGACTGTGCAGAGCCATCGTGTGTCAGGGTGGGCAACACTGAGTTTGGTAGAACAACAGATTCGGGCTAGGTTGTCACCAACAAGGCATCTGATAGTCAGCTCTGTCAATGATTCTGGTGGGGGAGGGGGACTGTGGAAATTGAACCGGTGCCTGGAGGCAGTTTTGGAATGGATGAGGGCTAACAAGCTGAAACCAATCTGGACAAAATGGCGGTCCCACCGATGGGAGGGAAGGATTGATTCGGGACGGTAAAAGTGCCCTCTGTTCTGGATGGGGTTGCGTTCCCCTTGAAGGAGGCATTTGTTCCTTGGGGGTGCCGTTGGGACTCAGGCACCAAAGCTATGGCATTCCCTCCCCAGGGAGATCTGTCCGTCTCCTTCCATCGTATATCATCTTGGGGGACCCCACATTGTGCCAAAAGGTGGCTTTAAAATGTTTTAAATAAAGAAATGGTCTGACTCTGTATGAGGCAGCTTCAAGTGTTCAGTGCTGTTCTCTCCAGGGTCCTGTAACCTGTCCAGTTGGAGGTTTTTGGGGAAGAGAGCCCTGACCTGGATGGCCTAGGCTAACCCGATTTGGTCAGATCTCAGAATCTAAACTGGGTGAGTCCTGGTTAATACCTGGATGGGAGACCACCAAGGAAGCCCAGGGTTGCTACACAAAGGCAGCCAATGGTAAACCACCTCTGTTCATCTCTGGCGTTGAAAACCCTACAGGGTTGCCATAATACCAGACTTGACAGCAATTTCCACCACCACTTTCTTTCTCATTTTGTTCCTGTTTATATTTGCTCCATGTGCTGCATCTAAAATAATTGGGAATTAGGAACCTAAATGACAGCTGGATCCTGCTCTATGCATTGTGAAATGGATTGGTGATATCCAATACTACTACTCAACAGCCCCAATCATTATTAGACTTGTAGGTACAAATAGCAGGCATACTTTCATTATATTTGTAGTGTTAGAAACCCCCACTTCCCTGAGCAGTGAAAAGTTTTAGTCTTAGCATTTACTTGTGTTGGTTCCCTTTGGAGGAGAGACAAGGCAGCACGTGCTCTGTCCCATATCACATCCCGAGACAGAGAGATACTGCACCATATGTCAAATCAATAGCAACCTTTCTGTCTCCCAGATATTGGAACTGCTGGTTTTTTTCACATCTTCTGTTGGGGAGGGATTGCCTCTTCCAGTCCCTGTTCGGTGGCTGGACAGAGGCATTTCCTAGTAAGATCTACAAGTGTTAAATATTAGTCAAAGGTAAAGTAAGGTAAAGGTTTCCCTTGCTTGAAAGCCAGTCAAGTCCGACTCTAGGGATGCAGTGCTCATCTACGTTTCCAAGCCGAAGAGCCAGTGCTGTCCGAAGACGTTTCCGTGGTCACGTGGCCGGCATGACTAGACGGCAAGGCGCACGGAACGCTGTTACCTTCCCACCAAAGTAGTACCTATTTATCTACTTGCAATTTCTTGCTTTCGAACTGCTAGGTTGGCAGGAGCTGGCTTCTAAACTTGGGAGGGGCAGGAGAATTTTATTTGCTAAACTTAGACTAGACTGTCTTCATAAGATGATTCCGCCAAAACAGCAGGTTGGCCAATGTGTCCCCAGATCCAAGAGTGGTAGAGAAGGTCAAAGAAAGTTCTTTCTCTGGCATTACATTGTCAGCTCAGCAACTGAGCAGGCCAGTATCCCTGGTTACATTTAGTTAATCCAGTAGGGCCAGATCTCTCTAACGACCCCTGGTTGCATCCTCTAGTGTTACAAGCTAAAATGCATGTAAG